CATTAGGGAAGTTCTCTGTTCTCAGTAGCTCAAGACCTCATGCACTTTGCATCTGAAAGCCCTGAAACTCAAAGAGAAATTTTGCAAACAGTCCGTTTTGCAGCAATTTGGTTCCGATCTCAGCCATAAGATCACTTAGCCTTTGGTCAGTTTGCAGTTTCTTGTCCTTAGCATGGGGCATTCTATGCTAATCCTCTCCAAGTCAGGATTCCTGTGAGTTTGGTGCTTTCTCCCCAAACCCAGTGGGGGGAAGGATTCCATGTCCTGCATGTATTAGTGATTTGGGTTTTTCATTTATATTTTTAGGGACTGCTTAGGCAGACAGATGCAGATCATCCAGACTACTACTTGCTGCTGGTGTGCGTCCAACAGTTCAGGTCCTTCACTGCTCAGTACCACCACCTCCTTCAGCACAACCAGGAGCTTCTACTGCTTAACCGCAAGGAGGTGCAGAGGTGAGAATAAAAATCAGTTACGGGTAGAAATGGGGAACTGCCCAATGAGCCACAGCGTAGAGGTGCCAAATGCACTTGTCAGGAGTAGAGAAAGTAATCTGTCAGTTGCAATCAGGACAGTTTAAAAAAAAAATGTATTCATAATAAACTCATGACTATAGACTAAAGCTAGAAATCTGATTTAGGGTGGTTATAGGAACAAAAAATAAAAGATTAATTTAGATGACAAGAAGTGAATAAAATAGAAAACAGCAATGTAAAAAACTAAATTATCTTTTTAAATGTAATGTGCCTGCACCATTAGCAGCACACATACACCGTTTGATGACAACAGATGAGCTCAGCATTTCGTTAGTTGTATAATAACTCAGTTTTTGACGAGCAAAATAGAAAATTCGCAAATAGTATTATAATGTTACATACTTCTTCACCAGACATGTTTCTTTTAAAGGTGACAATGTTTTTGTGTGTGTTTATCCTTTGCAAATATGTGCACATAAGGAGACAGGTGGAAAAGAAGGTGGTCAGGACAGGGTTGTAGGTTGAGTGGAGGTAGACAGAGAGGTGTCACACATCTTGTTTTGCTCTACAGACAATGCTCAACAGCCCAACATAATGGTGAAATTGTTCTTATCATTCCTTTAAGGATTGCTGTTATTACCGCTATTTTGAATTTGGACTGCCTTTATTCTAGTTTAAAATCTAAAATAGACTCTTAACATCTGATTTGGATGTCTTACATAAAATTCTCAAAACATTTTTTGAAACTCCTGATTTTTTTATTCCATTTTCAAGAGTTTATTTAGATAAAGACAGTCTTAAAAGTAAAGATTAAAATGTATCCCTTTAGCCATCCATCCATTGGAGGGGTGGGCACAGAAAGAATCACCTCTACTAAGAGCATATATTTAACATCTTCTCAACAGAAAGTTTAAACATGTCCAATTTGTTCTGCTCCATCAGCAGGTCCAACATGAAGCAGCTATTAAAGACAGTGGATGGTGGGATTCAAACCAACAACATTGGGTCACCTTATCCTGGCAGTAATGCAATGTTGTGAGTGTTTTACCTCCATCTCTTTTGTTTTTAAACATAAATATAATTATCTGCATTTACCAAAATGCTGTCGGGTGGTAATGTTTGGCCGATGCTTGAAGGGAGTTTTAATAACCGTTCCTTCTCCCAAAGGGAACACGCTAACATGGTGAAGCGCCGAAAGCAGTGTCTCCTGGAGCAGATTCAGTCCCACCGCTTCCAGGATTGGGATCACAGTCAAAACCCTCAGAGCCACAGTTATAATGCAGAGTGGCCATCCCAGACGTCATTTTTCAGCCACAATCTGGACTCAAGGAATCCTAAACAATTGGGTAAGTGGTCAGAAAAGCTGCTGGATATTGTCCACTCTGGATTTCATTTCCAACATTTTGACACTTTTTTCAGGTTATTTCTCTTATTGTGGGCTCTGTTAAAAAAAATGAATAGAAATTAGCTGATGTCAAGTTCTACAGCTTTTGTATGTCTCTCATAGCTTTTTTTCAACAGGTTTATAATAATTCTCCAATAAATGTAATTGGAACACTATCTTTTAAGCTCATTTAATTTGGTTTTAGGGGCAATTGGGACAGACCAGGAATTTTGAAGGGGTCAGGATAGACTCTGTTCTGAGGGGAGGAGTCTCTAATAGGTCTGGAAGATTGAGAGGATTAGAGTATAATTGGGAGCATTTGATAGTCAGTATTTAGATCAAGAAAAATAAGATAATCTAAGTAAGTACAAATAGCAGTTTTGAATTGATTTCAGTCATTAAGCAAAGATTATATCAAAACCACATTGAAAAAGGGATTGCCTCGTTATGACTTCCAACAATATACTCAACAACCCTTCAACGTTGCTGAAATAAAACAAATATGCGAAGAAGAGCTGAATACGGACCTAATTATTACCGATCAATGTAACTGATTAATTGCCAGTTAAAACAATTAGCGCCATTAGTTTTAGAGCAGGGGTCTCAAACCGGTTCCAGAAAGGGCCGTGTGGCTGCAGGTTTTCTTTCCAACCAAGCAATAGCACACCAGACTCCAGTCATCTCATCGAGTCATCGTATTCAGATTGCACTCAGTTGATGAGATGACTGGAGTCTGGTGTGCTATTGCTTGGTTGGAAAGAAAACCTGCAGCCACACGCCCCATTCTGGAACCGGTTTGAGACCCCTGTTTTAGAGGTTTATTATATTCTAACATGCAGTTAAGGATCAGTTGAAAAGTGGATCTTGTGATTATTCAGATTAAATTAACTTGATGAACTGAAATGAAAATGTGACATTGAGAGCCAAAACTGATAAAATCTTTAGAGAAAATATGTTTTTAAAACCTGTATGTGTGAAGTTGACAGACTCATTGGATTGTCTGCTGTGTTTAGAAGGTTTAGAATGTGAATATCAAAATGTGGAGGTCATTAAGCTAGAGCCGGGCATACACTGTAGGTGTAGGTTTTTTTTCAGTCGTTGCACGCAGCTACTGCTCAAACTGTACGACTAAACCGCATGGTTTTGTCGTACAGTTTGAGTTCACAGCTCACGATTTATGTTCGGTCCGACGCTTTCATGCGATCTACCTGCTCACTCTGCACGACTAAAAACCACGCTGGACTCAGCTCCGCAGTGAGATGGAGCTGCTCTGACTCGTCTATCTGGAAGCCAAACAAAGAGAAGGGGAGTATAAAGCTCAATAGGTGGAAACACACAGCCTTGGGAATTTGTGCAATTTCGTTCTGAAAACCCTAAAAAAGAAAAAGCAACGACGTTTTTTGAAAAAAGACATCGCTGAGCAAACGTGGCTACTACGGTCTGTCAATTTTACAGACAGAACTGCATCCCTGCCACGCTGCTGGGTTTACATCTATGAGGAAGAATAAAAAGAAGAATCCTTCTTTGCGCATGCCCCCGGAGTGATTTGCCCACGACGTTTTATTTTTCTTCCGACCTCATCTTCCTGATCCGGAGATGGTCATGAGACGCTGATCGCCCCTCGTAAACCCCTGTACACTAGACAATGCACTATCAGGCTGAAAGTCGGCACGATTGAAAGATTCTCGCTCGACTGGAAAACCGGATTGAAACAGTCATACTTAGCAATATACAAAATAAACTGGTAAGGCTTTTGCGTGTTAAGGCATTTTAAAGCATCTATGTTTATTAATGAGTGAGAAAACATAATATCCTTTGCTGATATATATTTCATCTACGAGTTACCCTGAGTTGACTTGCAAGGGAACTCCTGGCGAGTCAACCTAATGAACATCAAGTATTGGACTATCAGTCAGCTTCAATTTGGTCACAGGTAATTGTGATGACTTTTGGTGAACACTGTGCTGTGTGGACAATCCATCTGCGGCAATCAGACTGATCAGGCTACGGGCATTCTTAAAGTCAACCCATGTCTCATCTCTCATGTTCAGAACTGTTTGTTTTTTGTTCCTATGAGTTTTTCTTTCTGTTTCTAAAAATCAGCAGACCTGCTCTCCATTGTGCCTTTGCAAACCTAGTCAGCTGTTTAACATTTGGCCTGTAGGTCTTGGCAGCATCCCGGAGACTGAGAGATCAGAGAGGTCATGTCAGCACAATCTGCCCTCCAGACCGGCTGAATTTCGTCACGTTCAGCCCGGCTCAGCCTTGGCTGATGCCCTTGGGGAGTTCCTCCTTCCTCCAGACCCCCCGGGGATGGAGAGCCTCTACGACGAGGATAGGGTCTCACTTCATGATACGTCTCTGTTCGACCGCTGTTCATCTGCATCCTCGGACTCCTCCATTGACATCGCCTTCGTGAAGGTCCCTAAAGCCCCCCATGGATCACAGCATGCGGTGGCGATGAATGTGCCGACCAACAGAGATGTGTTTGGTAATGGAGGAAGCCAAGGTAATGGTTACAGCCAACTGTCCAACCGGGTATGTGTGTCACCAGATGAAGCTATAATGACACGCCGCAATCTCCATCGCCCCCTTCAGGCTAGCCAGCGCAAGAGTAAGGTGAGTGCATTCAAGTAGAATCCTGATGAAAGCACAAATCAGAAGCCAGCAAAATAAACCTAGCTTCTGTTTCCTTTCTGCTGCAAAGTCGCTGAATGGTCTGCAAATGGAGAACACTGTGAGTGGCGCCGATGTGGGGCCTCTTTCAGACCACCTTCAAAGAGTGGGACTGGGAAGCCACGCCAAGCTGGAGCGGCAGGGCAGTAAGGGCAGTAAATGTTCCACCCCATCCCACAAAGTCCACAGTCCCCTGGGAAACACGGACAAACAGAGTTCAGATCTTCATGGACTGCTCAGCATTGTGCGTATCACAAGAAACGCATGAGAACAAATTCCAAGGCATCTGTGACGGTTATTGATGGATGATATGGGTTTCTATCCGGGACAGCATGGCCTTGTGCATGCAGTAAAAAGGAAAATAGAATTACACAGTACAGTATTCTCTTAGTAGCCAAGAGAAGACTTCAGTACAATATGATGGGATGCCTCATGAAATCCCAGAGTAGGGTCAGAGGATGCTGAGGCACAGAGTATACAGAGATCATAAACCTCCAAACTTCATGTGGCTTTAGGTTATTTGAAGAACGTTAGATTGCTTTGTGGAATGGGTCTCCATTAGCAAGCAGCTACATCCTTCTGCTCATTATGGGCAATACAGAGCGTCACAAGCAGGGGAGTACAGCAAGGAACCTAGAGCAGAATAGGCATGTTTTTCTAACCGATGAGTCATGCTTCTCTGTCTGATAATCCCGTAATAAGTTTTGGTGGGAAGTTTCAAAAGAAGTGAAGTGTAAAGTTTGGTGCAGAGGAGAAACCGGGGTCTGAGGACTCATGGTTCCAGTGCATGGACCAAATTGTTATTTCAGAAGTGGGTGGGGGGGGACACAAGTATATTTTAATATAACTAACTTCAGCGTGTTTGACCATCTGATCACAGACCCCATCAGATGTTTGTAAAGTGAGCTTCTGTGGAGTGACAGCCAGTTACACAAGACAGCCAGTTACACAAGAAAACATGGTGGGCCAATCAGAGCTTCTGGGCGGTCTAAATTCAGGGAAGAAGGCTTCAGTTTGAGCTGCGGTTTCCCGCTTGGTCCTAGTGCTCGACAAATGTCTGTGTACTGTAGCGTAGCATTGTTTTTGGACAATAAAACATGCAGGGGACCAAAACGTACATTTGAAAAAGTGCATCGGATATGCCCCCCGCCCCCTAAAATAACGTCCATGTTTCAGTGAAAGAACCTGCAAATACTTTGACTCACAGAGACATTTTGGACAATTTCATGCTTCTTATGAGTGCTTTTTTTTTGGAGTGCTGCCAATTTTCTACTGGGTTAACAGTCAAAAATGCTTCAAACGGATTGTTAAAGCTTGATGAAAGCAAANCAAGTATATTTTAATATAACTAACTTCAGCGCGTTTGACCATCCGATCACAGACCCGATTCAGTGGCGCATCAGATGTTTGTAATGTGAGCTTCTCTGGAGTGACGGCAGTTACAGCCAGTCACACAAGAAAACAAGGTGGGCCACTCAGGAGCTTGTGGGCGGTCTAAAATCAGTTTGAGTTGTGGTTTTCCGCTTGGTCCTAGTGCTCGACAAATGTCTGCATACTGTAGCGTAGCATTGTTTTTGGACAGTAAAACATGCAGGGGACTAAAACGTACATTTGAAAAAGTGCATGTCACAACCACCCGCACCCCCCACCCCGCCACCCCCCACTAAAATTACGTCCATGTTTCAGTGAAAGAACCTGCAAATACTTTGACTCAATTTTATGCTTCTTATGAGTGTTTTTTTTTTTTTTTGAGCGCTGCCAATTTTCTCCTGGGCTAACAGTCAAAAATGCTTCAAAAGTATTGTTAAAGCTTGATGAAAGCAAAAACTATAGGTAATCAGCCATTTGGACCCTGAAGGAATCTCTCTTATTTACATATTTAGTCAGTAGTTATTGGCTCCCTCTAGTGGTCTTAGACATAGATTTATTTAGTCATTTTGTATACAAAAGTGTAAACAAAAAGAAATTTAGTTTAGAACAGCTCTCTAGATAATTTCATTATTTTAAAGTGCAGCCTTGATAAGGTAAGCAGCAGTGATAAAAAAAAAAAAATACATTATGATATTAAATCACTATATCTAGTTATGGAATGCGCATCATTCATGTTTGCTTGGCAGCAGTGATGTCAGACTGATCTGGATAGGATCTTAGCAACCAAATGGGATTTTTTTCCCTGATGGAAGAGGATTTGATGCTGGAGCATTAGGTGCCTGTTGCCTGGGCTTCATCCCGTCAGTTGTTGTTGAGCTGCTACTACTGCCTCCAGCTCCTGAAGCACTCGCTTCTCCTGGCTCAAGGGAGGAAGAAGCCGATGATGACAATGCTGTGAGGGTGGTAGCCCCCTGGGTTGAAGAGGTTGATGTGGTTAAAGCAGCAGTGGTGCCATTGGCAGGTTTAGCAGCGACAGACGATGCTGGAGAAGGTGTGGAAGCCGGAGGGGCCCGAAAGGAGCCGGCTGGGGATGGTTCAGCATTTGGCAGGATAGTGGTGTGCATAATATTAGAAAATAATTCTGAACACTTTACCTGTTGAAGCTAGTGTTTTCTCACAGTTTGTGGTTCGGTGTTTATATATAGAGGGCATTTTATTTTATTTTTTTTGTAAGAGCCCTGGATTGCATTTTGCCATCTCTAGATAAAAATCCTAAATATTCGACTGATCAGTGAAAATTTCTACGCTGATTTAGAAACAGAAACACATTTTTAAGAGTTGAGGAAACGTTAGCTATAACTGTAAAAAAATAAAAATTTTTAAAGACTTTCCTTGTAATAAGGACCATTTTGAACTGAGATAAGATTGGAAAGCAAAAATATTTCAGCTGTTCAAACCAAGGAATCCTTTAAAACACATTTAATTATCAATAAGTCAACCTGTTTAGATTTTAATCTTTCAGTTAAAGCAGATAAAAACACTCTTTTTGTTGCGTATGAAGCAACAAGAGCAGAGGTTCAACCCATTTGCCATTCACACAATAACTGCCACTGATGCTCTTATGTTGATCAGTATTTTTATTTGGAAACTAAGACACAGTAAATAGCTGGATGACTAATGCTTTATAACAAACAAAACACAATTAAATAGTTTTTATTTTCCTTCAACTTTAAACCTGAGCAGGAGTCGAACATCCAGTCATGGGGTGACGAGTCAAAGTGGAGGAGCGGGACAGAGGAGAACAATCACACCCCCTTCAGTGAGAGAAGTCGCAAGGACAAGGGAGGCTTCAGGAGCTCGTTCAAGAAACTCTTCAAGAAGAAGTAAGCATGGGTTTATACCACCGCTACACTTCTGAGCTTTAAAAGATGTCAAGGCAAATGTTTGGTCATTATGATCAGCTGGTAGAACAGGTTTTATTGGGATTTACTTGATTACTTTTTGTCCTTCAAACAGGAGTGCTGATGACAAAAAGGAGAAGGGAGGAGAAAAGACACCAGAAAGTCAAACCGTGGAGCATGAAACACCAATGAAGACTCCCAAACTGGTTCATCTGGAGATGAATCGTGGGACAGCCGTATAATTTGTGTTTTGCTGGAATCCATAAGTAGCTTTCCAAAACAAATAAAGCCTTCAGACTGAGAGAAGGGCCTTCTTCAAATCATGCAGGGATGAGCACAGATATACACTATGTGGTGCTCTAGCACATTTGTTTTTAGTCTTTGGCCCCAAAAAACATGGAGGAATTTAAAAGCCTTTCAAACCCAGAGTCTAGATTTTTGTCATTTTGCTCGACTAGACATATAGCACCACCTCAATAGAGCCTTGCACTGGTGAAGGGCCATCTAACCATCCAGTTAACTAAACCAACCAGTTAGTTCATAACATAATGTCTTTAATAGCCTCTACTAGGCGCCAAGGAACAGTTTAAAATGCAACTCTTTGGTTAAATTAGACAAAAAAAGTAACTTAAAACATCTCATTGATGTATTTATTGAACTGCTATACTGGTTCCTGTCAGGTACTCCCTGATAACATCTACCGGTATATGACTTTTTTATGACACCTACAGCACACAAGTTACCTTTATCTATTTAAAATGCACTTCAAGGCAAACATTAGGCCAATTGATCACAATTTGTAAAAGCAACTTTAAAGAGTTCTATTCAGTTAAAGTTGGGCTTGTACATAAAGCTGCATTTTCAATTTCTGTGTTTACTGACAGACATCTTGAACTGAAAACATATGACCTTATATGTAGAATTTTCTGAAAAAAATTGTAATTGTCCCTAATCTGAACAGGGAAATAAGATGATCTGTCAGTGAAATTAGATTTTGTTTACCTTAAAATAAGATTATTCCTTATTATGCACTTGAAATAAGTTAATAGTTGCTGTTTTTTTTTGTTTTTTTTACATATTTTAAATGCAGTGTTTGGCTGTCGGCGGTTCCATGCGACCTATAAGGTGCCCTTTTTCCAACCTGAGCACCTGAGAAAAATGTCTTGTTGATGTATTGTTTTTATTAGAAACAAATCCACATTAAATGGTAAATACAGTAGTACATATAATACTGATTTAGCAACGTTACAATGACTGGTTATGATTTTGTTTTCAAGCTTGTCTTAGCTTTGAACTTTTATCACATTATTGTAAATATTTTTTTTTCTTTGCTTTTTTCATTTTCCTCAGCCAACTAACAAATTTCTGTGAATTCCAGCCTATAACGCCATCATGCTGCTGTTCATCTCCCTTTTATTTACTATACCCACAGTTCCCGTATATACTCAGGAAACTTTAAACAGACATAATGGCTACATTTGTATATGTTTCCACTGCTTATTTAAATATTATATACAATATGTATTAATTAAAATATTTCTTTCTGTACCAGACTTTACTTTAGAAAGAAATAAAAGTTTTCAGTGGCTATTTCTGTGGTGATCAGCTGGTCATTTATCATTGTGAGACTAAATGACCCTAAAATCTGTCAGCATTTACATGCTTAAATTCAAATAAAAAGAAAAGTTAGGTTTGCATTTGCATTCAGGCACTTCGAGACAATAAAACCATTTAGAAAAAAGGAACTAATTTAATTAAAGGCAGAATGTAGGGAGCACAAACTCAGTGATCCCAGCCAACGCAGCCAGAACAGTAAGATCTGGTTAACTTTAATATAATTTAAACTATGCCCAGAACTACAACTAATTTAACTCTTTCTTTTGCAATAAAAATAGGTTAAAAAGTGTCTGAAGAGTCGGGGAGTTTAAAGAGGACTGCTATAGAAGGAGTTTGTGTTTCTAATGTCAATCTGTGGACTGAAGCTCTTTGAGCAAAAATATTGTCAAAAGAAAAGTTGTGTAAGAAGTGCAAGTTGGAGGAAGCAAAATGAAGGTCATGAGATTTTGGTTTTCTTATTAGTACAACTGGTTTATTTTCCTTTCCAAAAAAGTAAAAAAAAAAAAAAAAACAATGCACTGGACTTGGTTTCCACATGTGAAGACGTTTCGCTTCCCATCCTGGCAGGAAGCTTTTTTAATTCAAAATGTCAGAATTAGCATTGAGTTAGAAGCTTGATATAGTAGCCCAAAAAACTTGTTTTGACTTAGAAAACATGCAAATTGAACCAGAAGAACGGGTTCACCCCTTTAATTTTCTCAATGTTGTGTTCTGCTTTTATTTTCCTTGGTTGTAGAAGTCTGACATCAATTTTATAATATATTACACAAGCATTGATGGCTTGAGTTAAAACAAGCCTTTGTTCAGTAAGCGGACATAACAATGTTTTTATGATCTAAATGTATATATAAATAAATCTGATAACTAAAACTTTGCTGCTGTATGTCTTTAGGTTTTTTTTTTTAATCTTAAAACTATATAGATATTTATCTCTTTTTGTTTTTAATAGTTGAAGTCTAGTCAGAATAAGGTGGAAACTATGTGTGAGCATCAGATGTTAAACTTTGCTTCAGGTTTTCTATTAAAATTAAATGAGGATAATGAGAACACACTGATCTGATCCCTTCAACTGTAGTTTGGGCTCCATGTTTTGTCCCAATGACCTGCTAGAAGGGCAACCTCCACTCCATTCTCAGGTCCTTTACAGCCTATCACAGGTTTTCCTCTAGGATTCTCCTTTAGCAAACTTCTTTCATGATCTTTGGCTAGCTTTCATGTTTCTACACCAACATCATGTTCTACTGTTGGTTTTCTGACAATACATTTTGCATGTTGGCCAAAAAGTTAAATTATGGAGACATCTAAACAGATATTTCACACCTGATTTTTGGATTTCTTGGTGTATGACAAACTGGAATCCTCCTTTCCACAGGGGCCTGTTATTAGATTGTCTCACCTTTCCTGGTGTTTCAGAGGGAAAACGTTCCCCTGACCCATCTGTTGTGCTCCTCTGTCTTCACACTGCCGTTTCTTCAACTATTTTCTCCACTAAACAGAACAGTTGTCTTAAAACCAGGGCAACACCAACAACTAAAAAGGCAGTGAACTAACCCTGTGTGATTTCTTCCTGTTAAAAGGGAGTTTTTCCTCTCCACTGTCGCTACAAGCATGTTTTGTGTGAGGGATTGCCTTGGAGTCAATGAGTCGATGCAATCAACTGGTTTTCCTTACATAGAAAACTTTGAATCAGTCTGACTGGATAATCTGGTTGTATTGTCTCTATAAAGAGCCTTGAGATGACGTGTTGTAAATTGGAGTTATAAAAATAATCAGAATTGAATTGATTTAAAAACACCTGAAAGGGGTTCCAGATAATCTTTTCTCTTTATCTTAATGGATTAATATTTTGATCAGTCACATAAAATGACAATTAAACACATGGAAGTTTGCAATTTTAAAGTAAAAAAAAAAGCACCCAAGTGGTCCACGAGTGCATTGCAAGGGGTACATGAAAATATTTTATTTCTTAATTGGAAGTAAAACTAAATTTAAAACTTTTTTTTTTGTGAGGTACTCATTGAAAAATTAAACAAGCTTTTATCAACCAAACAGTATGTTTTGTTTTGCATTTTTTTCCCAATTCATCAAGATTAAATAAGGGAGCTCCTGTTTTATATATACAGGGTTAAAATATTATTTTAATTCGTATTTATTTCAATTCCTTACTAATTTCCAGGCAACATACCCATGTTTTTTTTGTTTTTGTTTTGTTTGAAATGGAAAAAATAAAATGCCTAAGAATTAAATGCTCCGGTAAAAAGATTAAATAAAAGTTACTTATGATTGAGTGGGGTACTCATGGTAGGACAGTATGTCCAAAGGGATACACAAGTAGTACACAAAAGTTTGGGAAACATTGTGCTAAGCTAATGGCAGTGGTAACATCTCTGTTTTTCCTGGGTATTTATTGTAATGATTTAGACCTAAAAAAAAAAAAATGTGTCTTTGCAAACATAAACCAGCCTTATTTTAAAGGTCAAAACCCCCAAAATGCTGCATCTTCACAAACCACATGACATCCAAAGATTTGCTTCCTTCTTTTTAATGTGTTAACCTGTCATCTCATAAATCTGTTACACTTCTGAAACAAAATATAGGCAATTATACAGTATGTAAAACAAACGCATTTTTATTTTACACTATTTACACTTTATAACGTTTGCATTGCATGATGAAAACAAAAGGGATGTGACGACGACAGAGGAGACATCGCCTGCTGCGTTTCTGCTCCACGATTGGAAAGGAGGCAAGGATCAAACGGGAATAATTGAATGACTTAACACTGATCAGCTGAGAGCAGCAGACGGGCGACGCTTCTACACATCAAATCCCAAGGCTGTGATATTTATTTCACTCATCTTTCACCCAGAGAATTCACACATCCGATACCCAAAAAAACAACTTTAAAAAAAAGAGGCTAATTCTACATGATAATCAAGTGAAGGCGACAAGTTTTCAACATTTTTCTGCATCTATAGGGGTTCTCTATAAGAAGGCAGAACTTCCAGAACAGCATGACGTAATCAGGGGAAAAAAAAAAAAGATTGCATAAAGGACAATTTCTTATATTTGTATGGTTAAGTCATGAAAAGCAGAGAGGAAGAACAAGCTACAAGACGTATTGAGATTAGTCAAGTTAAAACACTTGGGCCTCTACAAAATCCAACAAATTAGGTGCACCAAAATAAATTTAGAAAAAGAAAAACATTTTCAAAGGTGATCATTTTTGAGAACGTGCAGTTTAACAGCTTTAAAAAAGCCTTGTAGAGAGAAAAATCTAATGAGTTTCAGACATGTTGATTATTTTTTTAACACAAACCTGCTGAATGCTGTATTCAGAAGCTGACTTTTATTTCTTGAAATCTAAAATAAATCACGAGGTAGACTATCTAAATATGGCCACAAGGTTAACCAACATGTTCGAGCAATATACTTAAAAATATATATTATATATACAGATATATCATTTGACATAAAATAAACTCCCTAGTGATTTTTATTATTTATTTTTATTGTATTGTTTAGGGTTTTTCTTAAAAAGTAAAAGAAATATCTCAACATCGAACTGAGAATTAAATCTTAATAAAGTTCAAGAAATATAGGGTAAACCATTTCAATGAGTGTTTGCGGTTATTGGAACTTAATGATAATAGATATTTATTTAATAATCAGTTAAAATAAGCTTTCCAACATCTAATTAAAACGCAGGTTCCTTTGAACGATGAATAAATCCTTCCTAAAATTAGCAGTCTAAGAGAAATGGACTGCATGTTGCAATGCTAGTGAAGTAAGGGCAAAAAACATTCCTATTTCATTTTTTTAAAAGGAGTTGTAACTGAATCCTCTGACATTTTATCAGCTGCATGGTGGAAACACACCAGCAGGTGGCAGCAGAGCCCATTTAAGATGAGTTTCTAATGTCCACTGGACAGGGATGATAAAAGAAATGCAACTAAGTAAAGCATTTAACAAAAAGTCTGGGCAATTATTTCCTGATTTAGGGAGGGTTCTCAAAGAAATGTTGCGTTAAAGCCAAGCCCTCTCTGCTAATAAGCATACGGATGTTTAAAATCGCCACAGCTGATGATGAGACCTTTTTAAATATCGCTTTAAAGTGCTGGAATTGGACAAAAATTGTATGTTTGATTCCAATATCTTCCTGTGAGAGCTTCTGAAAGATAAAAACTTAACTGATTGATAAAGGAGAATGCATAATGAGAAAGGTAGAACTGATTTAATGGGGATTTTTTTCCTAATAGGACAGAAATCATCTTTCGAGATTCAATCGGTCAGACTTTCCTAAGCTGTGCTGTTGAACGGTTTCAAACATTTAAAACCACCAATCATGATCTAAACGTTCACATTCAAAACCAAGCCACAAATCCTACCGCTGCTAATAAATATTATTAGTTAGATAATCTTTATATAATCAAATACAGCATAGACAGCAGATCAATCTCTTTATCAAGTGCTTTTTGTGAAAAATGTTTTCATTTTGACAGAGGAAAGGTTTCTACATTTTATCAGGATGCGTTGGATTGGGGGTTTAGCAAACTAAAGCACTCCTTTAGATTTGCATCACGGCAAATGTTTTTTTTTAAACCAACAAACAAATGTTTATTTCTAAGTGAGGGAACCGTTAAAAGACCTTTTCCAGGCAGCTGACCATCCGTGTGCAGCAGAGAGATTTTTTAAAGATTTTTTCTCAATAAAAAAGCAGAAAAATTAAGATAAACATTCATTTTTTGTGGTTTTGAAGTTGAAAGATATATATTTTTAACCCACATACATTAATTAGGATTATCTATGCCTAAAGGAGAATTCACATTGATTTTATGCGGTACATCCAGTTAATTTAAATGTATTAATTGGCGTCTCTAAACATAATTACTTTTTAACTGCGGCAGACTTCAGCCATGGATATTTTCTTTAGAAAGATCAATGCGTCTGAATAGAACAGGATGGAAAAAGGATCAGTAAGTTGTTTGATTGGCAAAAAAGGACGCTATTTTTTTAGGCTTCCGTCGCAAGAAACCAGTGACATTTTTCTACCTAAATCCCATTCTGAATCTGTTATGTTGCTCTTTTATTGCTGCTCTTCCAAAGTTACCTCAGCCAGATAAAGACAGCCGGTGAGCTCTTAGGCGTGACCTGCCGTCTCCAAGCACACGTCTCACACACACATGGTTACATACCAATACGACGTCACATTTGTTTATGAAAGACGTTTTTCTTGTGCAAATTTTAGATACCAGTGGTTCAACAGAGATAAAAAAAAAAAAAAAACATCAAAAAAGACAAACAATTTAGAATAAAACAGCGTTTAAAAGAAAAGTTGAAGGGAGTGGTGCTGAAACGTATAAGAACAGGACTCTGGGTGACGGGGCAGGAAATGGCGATGCATGCTGCAGGAGAACGAGCTAAAACCATTGCAACCCATTTTCATTTGTCAGGATCTGATAGAGCAAACCTTTTTTTTTTTAAGGGGAAAGTCTGATCACTAAAGCCGCACCAAGGAGACCCGAACATCATGACCTCTTTGAGTCTCCAGTTCCACAGAGCAGCTATTCACACATCTATACACACAACCAGACCTTCTTTTTTTACTAGTGTTCATCTTTGTCAACGATAAAAAAAAAAAATGTATTTACAAAAATTAAATAAAGGTTTAATAAGCACTTGTGTGGTGTAGTGTTGGGGAACTGGGATTAAATCTAAGCCAAAGTGGCACATCTTCCTTTGTTTCTCATAAAAAAAAAAAACATTTTACGGCAAACAAAGAAAGCCAATCCTGGTTAATTACGTTACGTCATGCCACAATAAATAAAGGGACAGTTAAAAAAAAAAAAAGGCGGGGAGACAGAAAACTAGGTCAAAGGACAGATGGGAAGGGGGTTTTTCTGGGGCACGGAGGCCCTTCTATGAAGCTTCAGCACAAACAGCAGTAGTATAACAACTAGCATAGCGTTGGTGTGTATCTGGATGCTTTTATACGCCAGGAGTCAACTGTAGGGAAAGGTTGGATGGAGAACTCTCACTGCTTTCAGACCAGTTCTTTAGACTCATTGCATGGGCACACAGTAGACCCACCCCCCCCCTTTCCCATACAACACACTGGTGCATTTTAAAAGGCTGCAAAACCCACATCTGCTTTGACAACGCGGTCTCATTATCAGGAGGCCGAGGCGGGGTTAGGGTTTAGCTGCGGTGCTGGGATGAATGCGACTACCACTTGGTTTTGATGCTCCCTTGTCTGTGTTAGTGTTCAGGTGGGACTCAGTAGCTGTTTTCGTGGCCCGCCAGGATGTAGAGGTTGCTTTGAGCTGTGGGGTTGTCCGTCGGCCGGCTCTCCAACACGACCACCCTGAAAAGAATGGCAGCTTAGTGAAAATCGAAAAGAAAAGCTCAGCAGTTGGATTCCCCACATGTATGCAAGATAATAGTAAAACAAATAAGGAAGGGATGATAAAAGACCCAGGGTTTAAAGCAGCAAAATTCATGGTAAGTAGGAAACCCATGGTTTAAGCAGGTTATTTGGAAAGAAAAATACTAGTGGTGTAGAGATTATGCAATATAATCCTGTTAACCCTGAGGAAAACCTCACACAGAGCGAAAGACTGGAACTGTCACAATGATCCCTCAGTCTGACTCAGAGGATCAGACACCAGAATGGGCCACAACATTTAGAAGAACTTGTTAGGAACCCAGAAAAGAAAACAGGGTGAGAGTAAAAAAGCCGCTTTTGGACGTTGAGCAGCGTTTGTACCTGCGCAGAGCGAGGTCTCTGTCCTCAGACTCTGGGTCTCTACAATCAGCACGTCTTCACAGATAAGAAAGGATGTTAACAGAGGGTGTGAGTGTGTGGATGTGAAGTCAGAAGCTGTTTTTACACTGAAATTATTATGGTTGAACAACAATTTGTTTGCAGTTCTTTAAACAATCAGCAGATGACGACGGTTTAGTCTTTGGAGCTGTGTTTTCATCCCCTTACCTTTTGTTGTGATACATACAGATAGTTTGATAGATAAAACTAACTTAAAAGCTGCGCCCTACAAAATAGTTTTACTTTTTGACACGTTATCCTCTCCCTGTTCCGGCTGAAGAAAAAAACCCAACCCGCAGTATGATACTGCCACCACCGTATCCCTGTAAGGTTGGGGACGTTTTGCCTGTAAGTCTCACCGCACTAGAGCTCTTTCTACATGCTTCCTGTGTCCAGTCTATGGCTTGTTGGGACATTAAGTTGTTTTCTTTCTGAATTTTGGATCATATCCTCGCATCCCAGATGATCTGCTTTGTTTCCTTCGTCTTGATGAAGCCTTTTGCTCAGGTCATCAATAAGCAATGCTGAGGGTGGAGTCAGTTTAATACAGAAGGGATTCACTGAGACAACTTTTATATATTTAGGGGGATTAGAGTAAAGGAGGGTGAATAAAAATATAATCAATACTTTTACATAAAATCCTAACGAAAGGCATTAAACTTTGTCTTTGTACCATAAAAACAGAGATTCACGCATCCCTCACCTGTCAGATCCCAGTAGTCTGAAGATGCGTGTGTTGTCGCAGATTTCTTGTGTGATCTTAAAAAAAAAAAAATCAACAGGTTAAAACAAGATTAAAAAAAGACTCTTTATGACTCTGTTCTCTTGAATTTTTCAAACCAATACGACCTGCTAATTCTTTAATGATTCAGTTTTTAAACACTCCTCCGACAGCAGGTTAAAACCCAGTGGCTGGGTAAACACCCCAAGATAAGATGCCTTGCTGTTACCGCTAATGTTTCTTTCCTTTTAAGTGATAAGGATGCAACTAATCCTAGATATTCTTATTTTCTCAGTATAATAATCTGACACCATATATCCAGAGAAATCAGCCGAGAATACCATAACAATACCAGATCTACGAAATACAGACTTCCCATCATTAACATGTAGATAAAGGTGTTTAAAACCAAAACAGAAGAAGCACTAAGCCTCCCGTAGCTAGCAGTACAGCTGAGATCATCACAATATAAAGATCAGATGGAGAGGGAATTGCTTTTACTTAAAAAGGATCAAACTAACCTCGTTGGTCTTAAAGCTCCGACCCTGCATGCCATGTCTCCAGAAGGCCAGTACACTGTCCTGAAGACAAACTATGGAAAGAAATAAAACATTTATTTATCCTATTATCAACAACGAACCCAAACATGTTTCAATCATATCCTATCTGGACATGAAGACAATTTTAACAACAATGAAAAATAAAAGCAAAACTATCAGGTAAAAAAATGAAGAAAACACCTCAAAAATGTGCTTTTAAATGTAATTTCTTCTGAGGAAGGATTTAGGACATCCTGGATATTTATTTAAAAATAAAAAAAATGGTTAAACTTAAGACGATTAACAATACTAAGTGCTGAAATGAATTAACATCACTGTTAAATCTAATGACCTGCCGGGTGCCTTCAGAGGGAAGCCTGTAGAGGCTCCTGAGTCTGGTCATTTAAGAAGTCTTATTGAAGGAGTGTATAGAAAATAGGGGTGTAAATAATAATCGTTTTGTATCGATGCATCGATCCAACAGCCGACGATAAGATGCATCGACACGTCTGCAAGAATATCGATTAATGTTTTTTTCCTCCGGGCTTTTTTTTTTTTTATCCATCTGCTCCTGGACGTAATTCTGACTCCTGTGCTGCGGTGGCGCTAAACCTATTTTGCCTTCCTACCTCACTTCTTTTAGCCGCTACCCTCTTTCTGCTTGCAGTATTTTTTGATGCAAGGCCTTTCAGTATCTATAACACAGGGGCTTTATTATTTTTCAGTGAATGAGGTTTTCATAGGCCTAGGTGGAGTACAACTTTGCTACCTCTGTTATTTGCTGTTGTTTCTCAAATAAAAGGCATAACGATATTACAGCTTTCATTTATTTATTTTAAATTTCAAACATTGACTAGTCTGTAAGGGAAAAAAAAAAAAAAAAAACAATTAATCAAATCAAATCGTGGTGTATTCTTGAGTATTAAAAATAATCGAATAGTTGGGTCAGGAAATTGATACTGAATTGAAACGCCATGATGGATGTCATTTACACCCATAATAGAAAACAAACTCGCTAATGTTATCATGGGACAGCAGACTCTCAATATTTTTGATCAACACCGACTGCATTTGTTTAACGGTCGAGACAGGAGCACAAGGAGATGCCTTTGGTCTGTATGGAAAAACATGAGGCCTGACTGAGGTTTGCTAGAACGTACATAAAGACCAGAAACTCTGGAAAAATGTTGCTTAGACCAGATTTGGACTGAGTTAGGGATGCAAAAAAAAAAAAAATTGCCTGAAAATTGTCAATTAATTGTATATTAGATTAAAATGACACCATAACATTAATTGATAATTGCCTTTTAAGAAATTAAGTACATTATCGTAATGTTACCACCGCCCACTAGAGGGTGCTGCTTTTAATTCTTAAGCCTTCTTTTGCAAATACCTCATTGGTATTTGATGAGGAATGCACTTTATGCAGTTCCGTTTGTAAATATAATAATAACTGGATTAGGTAATCACCTAAATAGCGCCCATTTAGCTGCGCTGCATTGCAGAGCAGCTTACCTTCCCTGCTGTGCTCGGAGGGTGACGATGCGACTATCAAAATATGGAGGCCATAAAGCTAAACGTCTCTAACATGATAGAAGACATGCTTAGCAAAAAACGAAATATACTGGAAAGGCTTTTGTGTGTTAAGGCGTTTTAATGCGTCTAATTTTTATTAATGACTAACATTTTTTGTTTATTCAGTCAGTGTTTAACACGGCTCTTTGGCTCTATAGCTAGCAGATAGCTAGCAGGTTTCCTCTTTAGCTAGAAAACCTAATATCCTTTGTTGTTTTATTTCATTTAAGAGTTAAAAAAGGTTCATTTCTGTTCTTTATGTGCAATAAAAAATAGATTAGAAAAAATCTGCACATTTATTAGGGAATCCTGTTCTTTCACATCTCTGTGACGTCAATTTGTGTCAGAAATAATGAAGATAATGACTATATCAGTCCGTCTAGCTTCTGTTACCTATCGCTTCGATCTGGAAGTTAAAGGTGAGTTCAGCCGATAGCTTCCGGCTGGATTTTAGCCGGCCCTGCAGGTTCACTATTTTTATACATCCTGAGAGAAAAACAGAAGAATAGATTGTGGATTATAAAAATGTTTACATTTGGTCTAATTGAAAAGATTGAGATTTAGTGTCACTCACTGTCTAGGCAGACTAGAATAGTGTCTCGCTCCAGCTGTGTGACGTGGATCACACACGTCTGCGGCATGTCTGTGAAGAGGATCAGTGTTTATTCACTTTTAGTCACCGGACGTTTAAAGGTGGAAGAATCAGCCACACTGTTCTAACCTGCTTCTGTAAACCAGGAGGAGGTAGCATTGGGGTCGACGGTGCCGAATCGAACCACCTGGTTGAGTTCGGTTCCTTTGCTGACCGCCACGCAGATCAGAGGATAGGTTTGCTCTGGCACCACCAACATCTCGAAGACTTCCAACGGACAGGGCAGCGGGAAGTCAATGTTCTGCAGAGGAACAGGATTCACTGTTGGTCAGAGATTTCTACACTGATCTAGTTGATGTGGCTTGGCTTCCTCGTAGTCTTTTAGTACAGGATCACATTCAGGACTGAAGGAAAAGTCTTAACTTTTAGGGATGTTTGGTATCAGGTGATACATGAATACATTTTTTTCATCTTCATATTACAGACATTTGGAAATTCTGGACATTTGCCAACCTATTAACCCTTTAAACTACTTAAAATAGTAGCCTTGTGCAATGTAATTAGTGTGATTATTATAGATTGGTAATGCGGAAATATGACAGAGCTTTTTTGTTTTCTGGACTAAACCAGTTTGTTCTCAACACAGCTTATCATATGAGGGCAGGAGTATCCTGCACTAACTGTAGGTTTATTAAAGCACCTTTATTTTGTTCCATACACAACTATTGTTAGTGATTTTTTAAGTAAAATCACATTTCAACCTATTTCAAAATGTTTTAATAAAAAATAATATTAAAATCATATGTATGCATTCAGGATTCAATCTAAAGAGCAACAATGATTAGAATCAACATGCATTTAGGGATAAGAAAGATAATGGTATTAATCATTACTAAAATCTGATTGATTTAAGTTCTTTAAAAATACTTTCTAAAGTACTACTTAAATTATAAATTGATTAATCAAAAAATAATAATTGGGAAATTGATTGCCAATAAAATTGTATCATTGTAAGACGTACCACTAGTTGAAATGTGAAATCAAAGATAAGGTACTTTACACTTAAAACCAGCACATCCATTACTTATGATTAGAATATTTTTCCTTTAGGAAATTGTAGGTTTAAAAAGACTGAAAAATTGAACTGTTTCCTCAATTTATTCAGACCTGGAAAAAAAAAGGATTCGTAGTTTTCAAGGAACCACTTTAAGAAGTCCTTTTGACCTGTATACATTAGGTGCACTGCAAAGAAATAAATTCTAATTAGGTAATTCTTTCTTAAAATAAGTGCCTTTTTTCTTGAATTGAAGAGGTAAGTGATACGCTTTACTAATGGAACAAGACGATTTACATTTAAACTAAGAAAAAACAATTGCATTGTCTAATTTCAAGTGCATATTATCTAATTATCTTATATTAAGAGTAAACATACTAATTCCATTCGCATATCCTGTTGTTTTCCTTCTAGAATTATGGGTAAATAAGCTTAATTTATGACATTTTACATTGGCAGTGTGTGTTTTGTGATTTTTCTTTACTGGGCATTTTATCCTTAGGTCCTCAAATATACTTAGCCTACCAAAACGAGAACAAAATATGGAGAAAATCCCAGAAAAGCGCTAAATTGCTTTAAATCAAGATGAAGAACAACTTTGTTTAGAGTGGCCTTTGATTGTGCCTTAAAACATTATTAGATAGTTTGGTTTTTTTAGTTCAGATTTCCTTTTCATTAAATCAATAATTTTATAAAAATCATTATTTTAACTATTGTGTTACCTCTATATCACGGCGATGCACTTTTTTCTATCGCTCTGAATTTCTATATAGCACATTTAACAGTTCTACCATTGAAATAATCTATACAAATAAATTTTCCTTTCCCATTTTAATTTTTGATTCCTGTTTTTATTTAAATGTTTTATGGATTTTTTTTTTTTTTTTTTTAGGGATGTGTAAACATGAATGCTTTCATCTGCCTTTTCACTTTCCCACTGATACCTGAACATCCAGAGGGACAATAAAGAATATTTATTTTTGTTATTAGATACACAAGGAAAAATACTATTTATATAAGTAAAATAATGTCATTCTTTTAAATGTGGAAGAGAATTAAACCAACCTTGATGAGCATGAACCTCTGCATGGACTCCACCCACTCCAGCAGCATGACACTGGACTGGAAGGCCCCACACAGGTATTTATGGCCGGTGTACGGGTTACGGACTGTCAGGGAAATAAAAAAAAACAAAACAAAAAACACACCATCAGTCATGTTTTATCGCCTGTATTCAGAAGTTAAAGCCTGAAACTATTCAGACTTTAAACCAAAAGCAAAAAAACAATCCTCTCAAAGCTACTCACACCTAAGAGCAATACAACTAACCCCAAAATGATTGAAAGAAAAAAACTGGTAGCTTTAGACTCACCTACGCAGCACTTTTGGCATCCTTTAGTGTCTGGGATTTTATTGGAGACAGCAAACTTCCTATAACATGACACAAACAGACGTGAAAAAACTAACTTTACTTTGAATTGGCTGCTTTTTTTGTGGTAAAATTATTTCACTTAACACAACAAAAGTAGATTATAAAAGAAAAGTAAAATGAAAAAATGGCTTGAAATAAAGCGGAGACTGTAAATAATTGACCGTTTCCTGACTCGGGTTACCTTGGGATGATCTTATCAGGCAGTTTGTGTGTGGGAATGGATACCGGTAACTTCTGTAACTGTCTAGCCTGCTCAAAGAGCCCAGACAGACTGTGGGAGTACAGCTGGGAGGCTTTTCCTGCAATTAGACACCATTCATCAAGGGTTAATAAGAGGAGAAAAATAAATAATATTTTATATAGAAAAAAAAATAAACAGCAAAAATAAAAGACAACATTAGCAACTTCTTTGAGAGCAGTTTAACTCACCAGATATAGAAAGGAGACAGCTGTTCATGACATACAACCACGTACACCTCCGAGGGAAGAGCTACAACCAAAACCAATAATGTTAAATTTATATCCAGTAATAACAGGATAATAACTGGTCTGTAACCATGTTCTGGTTCCAGGGGTTTTTATCAGTCACCCAAGCCTCGTCTACAAGAACCCATCTCGTATATAATAATACAAAAACATTATTTTGTTAAAAAAACATATAATTGTGAAGCAGCAAAAGTGTAATATACTTTATTACTTTATACCAGTCCATCACTTTTATTCTTAAATAAATAGAAGTTCATGAATTTATTGGGTGTGAATGTTAAGAGAGTTCCAAAGTCATCGGCTTGTTATCTGGGGTCTGACCTGCTCCATCGTCGTCTCATGAAGCTCATTAAGGTTTAAAGTGTAGATTCCCTCCTCAGCTCCGAATATTAAATACTGATCTGAAACACAAAAACGATATATATATATAAATATATATATATACATTTAACGCAGGTAAATGGATGTGGAGATTCAGACGCCCCTCGTCAGCACTTCCTGTTTTTCTGTTGGTTACCTCTAGTGTCAGGGTTGATCCACGACGTGGCACAGTGGATCTTCAGCGGACAGCCGTTAAACACCTTGGAGAAACAGGCTCCCATCTGCGGACAGGAGAGTAGATCAATAGCAGGTTTGCTCTATCCTGATGCTAGGGTTATTTCAGGGCTTCGACTCATTTTCAACTATAAATATCAGAGTTCTTTATGTGTTGATCACAGAGGGATTATGAAGAAGATGCAGACAGATGGATGGACAACTGAACGATAAATGGACAGACTGATGAAACAATTAGACAAAGAAAGAGGGAACAAAGACTAGAATTTATCAATTTATCTACTTGCTTAAAAGACCATTCACTGTCAGCTTTCTGACCCCAAATGTGACACGTTGGCGCTGATACTTACATGAACTTTAGGTGTTGGAGGAAGACCGTTACTGATAGGCTTCTGGGACAAATAAAAAGCCACACATTAAAATGGATAACCCATAACTAGGATGTATAGGTGGGATCAATCACCAGCTTACATACCGGAACATCCTTCTTGTCTTTCCGTACAGGGACACTAGGAGGCATGGTGGACTGCCTCTCTCCTGCACTTTCCCTCTCTCCATTGTGAGGAGAGTTAAGTCCATTACCTAAAACAACACCATCAACAATAAAGACTAAGAGGGTTTTAGATGCATTATTGGTTATAGTGTGAATCATTTAACCCCACAAAGACAAAGGAATTATAGGCACAAAAAAAAAGGTCTCTGGAGCAGAGAGGGGGAGAGGAGGGTGGGAGCAGGCCAGCAGGAAGAATACAGAGGATCAAATATATGCAATGAGCAATGGAGGGCGTAAATGCGCCGACTGCACAGACAAGACGATGCATTACAGCTGCATGAAAAGACAAAAGACTTCTGATCTCCTCAATGGGTGTGGTTCAAGTACTGTCAGGGCTGTGTGGACGGGTGGAAATAAATCAGTGAGGGCAAGTGGGCAAAAAAAATAAAAATGGAGTGCTATGCGCAGCAAATGTTTTAGAGTTATTTTGGTGGCGACAATGTCTCCGCTCAGACATAAGGCGGGCCTCTGAAAAGCACAGAGATTATTCCCTCCTCTGTTGTTTTGAAAAGTCATTTTTGGAAATTTCCGAAGCCTCGTTTCCGATCTTTTATCAGAGGCTATGGTGAGAAGGAATCTACCAGCTGTGGCCAAACCCGTCGTTTTCAACCAGTCCAGTCACCCCTAAATCCTGTCCACAGTGACACAGGAAGCCACACACTCATACTTCAGCATGTTTTCCCTTTTTAAGGCAGGAAAACAAAAAGCGTGTACCACCAGTCTGAGATAAATCCAGTACCTTCGAAAAGATTCATATCCCTTAAACTTTATCTCACAATGCAGACACGTTTAGAGGACGATTTATTGGGAATTTCTGGGAAACCGTATCAAAGCGATGAAGAAAAGCTTGAAAATTTCTACTTTTTTTAAGTGAATCGAATATTTAAAGGGGTGAACCTGTTCTCATTTGTCAAGGGACACATCTCTACCAGCTTTTCACATCTATAGACTTAATTTGTTGGCAGTTCCCTTAAAAACAAATAAAAAAATGTGCTTGTGCCCAGTCAGACTGGTTTCTGAGAATCTGAAGATCGATTTAACCAAGAATTCCTATCATTCCTATCAAGGCTCTGACCTCATTCTGTTTCACTCCATCCTAGCTCTGTGCGTCTGTTTAAGGCTGTCTTCCTCCTGGAAGGAGAAACGGGTTTTCTTCCAGTATTGTCCAGCATCTCCCCATCAGTTTTTAACAGCCTTCCCCGACTCTGTTTTGTAAAACCAATCCCACAGCAAGATCCTGCCACCACCTTGGTTTACCATGAGCATGGCGTGAATGACGAAAGAATGTTGCAATTGGAGGTAAAATGTAAGGAGTGAACCCACCGTATTGGCCCAAAGATAAGAGGAGGTTGTTTTCGTTATAAACTATGTAAAAAAATGGGGCCTAACCAATTATACAGGCTGACAATTGTCTCGGGTCGCTAAACTAATGCAACAGCAGGGGGCGGCTGTGGCTGGGGTCATCTATCCATCACAAAAGAGAAGAAGCGACAAGAACGCGACAAATAGAGAGTCGCTGCCCAGAACGGAGTGGATCAAAAGTCAGACAAGTCTGCAGATGTTTGAGGCAGAGTTATGCTGCCGATTTTAAAATAATGGTGGTCAATGCAGCAGAGGCAACAAACTGCTGTCTGGAAGCAAAGAATGCAATGTAAGAAGATGACGCGTTCAAAAAGACCGGAAAAATGCAATTGGCAAAAGAAAAGCTTATCGATAAATAGCAGAGCAGCAGGGCGAGGAGTGACAGCGGGCGCAGTGAGGCTGAGGATGTCCATGAGTAAAAGCCTCACGCATGAGTTAAAGTGTTGCAAGATTTCAATGAAATGTTTCATTACTGTTTTTTTTTTTGTTTTACTTCTTATTGTTTAATTGGTAACTGCACAAATCTTTCAATGAAATATTATTTCAATTAGATTCTTAGCACAAACAGAACAAAATAAATTTGGTTTATCCTAAAAACTGTTCCTGGAAAGATGGAGTCGTGTTATAATCAGGGTGCTCCTTTATTAGGGTCATTACGATTTATTTTTAATTTTTTGTAATACTACAAAAAATTAAAATAAAATTCTTCCACCTCCAGTGCGAGTTTCTGCAGCTAATCCGATGTTAGCGAGGCTCTTTGGAGTGCTTCTCCACTGAGGTCAACCAGAATCCGTCTGATGTTTTTCTGTTTTTAATGATGCCGTTTCATCACTTTTTATGCCATGAAGCACGAGATGGTGTTCAGAAGGTATTTGGATTTATGCTAAGATCACTTACAAACACAAAGACTCAGTTTAGGCTACAATTTGATACACTAGATTTTATGTGAAGGCATCAGAGTAAGGGGGGACACTGAGATTTCCTTCTACTAGCTAATCTCAATTAGACAACTTTTATGTCGGTTATGACGCAAAATCCATATATAAATGAAAATTGAGTTTTAAAATATTTGAACTAATGACAGACTGAGTTTACAGTATGCCCTATCAAGCAAATCTCCGACACACGACGCACCAAACTCTTCTGGTCGATCCAAAGAATCAGATACTTGACTATAAAAAGCCCCTTAAAACTATTAATATCTTTCTGTTTCTAAAGTTCCGCAGGAAAATAAAGATTTCCGAATTCAAAATCTCTCTTCTTCCTTCTTGGAAGTTAGGGGGGGAGGAAGGGTGTTAGAGCCATAAACATTTCTTGTCCAAATTGTTCTTGTTTATGGCTCTAACAGGGTAACAGCTGATTGACTGATTGGATTAAGAAAAAATAAAAGAGGAAAATAATTAGACCTTAGAAAGGACAGACAGTAATACTGAGCAGGAGCTGATGAACAGAAGGAACTTTAAATCAATAAAAAAAGAAAAACCCATTTGAAAAGCGTTTTGTTGTTAATGTGCTCATGGAACAGATAAATCAGTTAGTCTACAGGAAAAAGAACCGGCTAATGGGGGGGGGACCACATAACCGATGGGAACAACAGGGTCTGTGGACACTACCCAGCTACCAATCAGCTGCTCTTACTCTCTTCCTTTTCCTGCTCCTCTTTCACCTCCTTCAGCACCTCCCAAGCCTCCTCCAGCTCCTCCTCTGTGTGAGGCGTGTGGAGCCATTCCCAGAAATGCCTAAAGCTCCCATCATCATCCTCCTCTGGGGTAGAGTTTCCCACGTCTTTTCGCTTCGGGCTGTCGTTACCTAGGCTGCTGCGGCGGTGGGGCGGCAGCTTCGGGGGCGGAGGCCGTGGGGGGACGCTGGAGGACGGCTTGGCGGGGCTCGGAGCCTCTGAGCTCGGGCAGCGCTTGATGGTTCCCCCTCCTCCTGCGTCGTCCTCGTGGTGTAATTGGCTCTCGTCATTTTTCTGCTGAGGGGGCTGCTGGGAGGAGCTGATAGACTTTGGCTGGAGTTGATAAAAAGCAAAATATTAATTTTTTTTTTTACTTGAAAAAATATTTAGTTACCAGTGACTGAAAAAGGTCAGTACTTCTACCTTTGGAGGGAGGGGAGGGGGCTCCTTTGGCCTCTTAATAGTGCTGGATTTGCTGTAGATTTAAAAAGATGGCTAATTAGTAAAACAAACAGAAATATGATGACATCCAGATGTGTGAGAGTTAGTAAAGAGAATCTATAGAATGACTCTAAACTCCTCCATACTTTGTTTTTGTATGTTACAGTTTAACTTTTATATCTACAGAACAAAAGATAGCAAAAATATTACATTTTTACCTTAATTTGTCGCCTAATTTTCTATTAATTAAAAATGCCGGTATCATTTTCTGATCTGTCCTTCTTAGCTTGTCATTAGAAAATATGTTATTTTTTAAAAAATTGGAATGAAAAATCTCTTAATCTGGGCTGTTATTGCAGCCTTCATATTATGCAGATTTCCACAGAAACACCTTCTGGTGAGAGTCATTCCTTTCCACTTTCATCACATGCAGGATCAGTGGCGGTCAGTGACTGTCACATAAATAAACTAAACCTCAGAGTTTTACCTGGCATTGAATAGAATTGTCTGTATTTGTACTAAATTGTCCAGGTTTTAACTTGTTTTGATGACAATGTAAATCTTGGCTTACAACATTAATATGGAAGATGCATGCAAGTGGGAAATCTATGCTGTTTCACTCTAGCAGGAGGAGAAAACAGATGTTGGAGTGAACACACAGACTTATAGAGCAGGGCAGCACACAGAGAGTGATGCATGCGGAGAACAGAACAATGGCAGGAAGAATACATCACAAGGAACATAGAAAAGAAATGAAACTTAACTATTATCCCATGTTGCTTTGAGTGAAACTTTAATGCTACTACAGGAATTAAGCTTCCCTTTGGAAAAAAATGCTACTCAAGCATTTTCAGCCTGCCAGATTAAAACTAAAAACTTCAGTTAAGTAGAACAGGTATGTATGATTTTCACCATTCTGCTTTACAGATAAGAGTCTACAAAAAAAGTGATTTTGTTTTGAGCTCATTTGACTGAATCCTCTATAGAACCACCTTTCAATGCGGTTAAACTCTTTTGAGGCAAGTCTCATCCAGCTTTGGACATTTAGGGCCTGGTCTTCGAAGGTTCCAGATAAATAGCACTACATTGCATTTGAAAAGATAACATTTTTTTTTTTTAGAAATGCAGTTAGCAGCCATATTACCATTAAGCTAGAAAGCTAACGGGTGAAAATATATCACCTTTATCAATTGTAAGTGCCTTATTTAAATACAGAAACGGTGTATGCTATGGGCAGTATGGGGGAGAGAGGGAGGCTGTAAATCAAAGATGGGAGGTTAAAGCCATGCAGTTGGTGGTAATGAAAGCTTATAATGTATTTTATGTATACGTATCTTAGTGCTACAATTGTAAAAAATAAATAAATAAATAAATAAAAGAAAATAATAAAAGTTAAAAGAATAAATATCAAGCATAAAACCTAGAAAAGCTTGGATGTTGTTTTATAAGCTAACCCTGTTTTAAATGTCTTCAAAACTGCTGCTTTCCTCAGTTTTCATAAAGCTGTTTGTTCAGTAATTCTCTTTAACAAACTCTGAGGCACCTAAAGGACAACTGTGTTGATGCTAATAATGAGCTAAATTAAGTGGATTCTATTAACTAACCTGCTGGCTTCTAAAAAGAACCTATTTGTAACAGATTTCATTTGCTATCAGTCAAATGGGCTGAAAAAAAAAATTCACATCACATTTCTATTTTAAAAAAGTGATTTGAAGGCCATGATTTATTTACTTTCTATTACAAAGAAGCTCCAAATAATCATTACTTCTTTTAAACTTAAAGGTTAAAGGTACGACAGAGTATTAGGGCCAGGCTAGAGATATTTTTATCCATTTCCAGTATAATGTTGTAAATTACAAGAATAAAGTCGTAAAATTCCGAGAATAAAGTCGTAAAATTTCGAGAATAAAGTTGTATTATTATGAGAAAAATGTCACAACAAGAATAGTTATAAAATTACGAGAATAAAGTCGTAATATTAAGAGAATAAAGTCCTAAAATTACGAAAAACTATTTGTGTTTTATGACAACTCTTACAAACAGCACTTTCTTCCCTAAAACGAGCAATCTCGAGCATCATGTGAAGTTATACTTAGGCATCGGTTTGACAAATGAGGAAATCTTTTTGCAAACCAGAATGAAATTAAGCAGAATGTCAAAGTGGACTCAGGTTGCTGTTTGGTGGTGCTGGTCGGAGCTCGAAGCTTTCTTTCTGAAACAGGTTGTGGTATGATGACTTCATTCTCCTAATGTTACGACTTCGTTCTCCTAATGTTACGACTTCATTCTCTTAATGTTACAACTTCATTCTAGTGACGTTACGACTTCATTCTAGTGACGTTACGACTTCATTCTAGTGACGTTATGACTTCATTCTAGTAACGTTACGACTTCATTCTAGTAACGTTACGACTTCATTCTAGTAACGTTACGACTTCATTCTCTTAATGTTACAACTTCATTCTCCTAATGTTACGACTTCATTCTCCTAATGTTACGACTTCATTCTCCTAATGTTACGACTTCATTCTCGTAATGTTACGAATTCATCCTCTTAATGTTACGAATTCTTTCTCGTAATGTTATGACTTTATTTAAAAAAAAAAGAACATTCTCTAGCCTTGCCCTAATAATCTGGTTTATGGGTCTCTCTGTGAAACTGAAGCTTTACAGTAAGTATCGGTAGCTTTAAAACTTCACATCAGGCAGCAGAAGCAGCATGAAAAACACACACAAACAGTGGCGGCATGATGGTGGTTTGTGCTGCATAGAGATATGTGGATGAAACTGTGGAAAAGGACGAGAAGCCTTCCTCCTTGCTGCCGTCTCACACTCATCTTTATCGCCTTTGTTAACAGAGAGGCTGAGCATCAAAAGATGTGGAGACGAGCAGAAGAAGGCTTCCAGTTTCTGAGACTGAGAGGGAACTTACTGAGTCTGAGTTTCATCATCATCATCTGCACCATCATCATCCTCATCATCCCCTAAGTGTGCAACATGGCCCCTGGGAGAGGAGGGGAAGACAGGAGGGGACAATTGGAAGGGAGGAAGAAGGAGGGGTAGATTTTTGTCACGGTGGGAAGAGAGTAATGGGGGGGGGCAAGCAAATAAGGATGGGAGATGACAACAGAAGGAGAGGGAGGAAACGGGATCAAGGCAAAGGGAGGGGAGGGAGAGCTGAGTAAAGCTCGGTTCATAAACTATCTCTTATATTCAAAGACTAAAAGGACTGAAGCGTCAAAGTCCAACAAAAACAACACAGAAACCCTTCAGGTTAAATAAAATCCTGACACTTCTTCACAAGCTACAATCTACTTCTTGTTACCTGGTCCGTCATTAACAGAACTCTTATTTCCTCTTATTGGATCATTTTGATAACCTGCCTCCTCACATGCAGATAAATTTGTTGGCACATCTGCTAAAGATGAATAGAAACAATCTGGAGATAAATGAAACTTATGTGGTGTTTCACAAAAACAATAATAAAAAAAAAAAAACTTCTGAGGAAATTTGCAAACATGTTTTGAATCACTTTTTCTGCTGCAGGAACTAATGATGGAAATTTACTGGCAGATCTTCATCTTAAATGTTCTTTACCTGTACCTTAAAATTTACCTGATTCTACACACTCTAACAAGGTTCCAAGAGGCTTTTAAAAGAGAAACAGACCCACAGCATCACAGATCTTCTATCGTGTCTCTACCATGGCGGCATTTTGATGCATGCATTTCTGCAAACTTGTTGTATTTTTTGGGCCAATCTCACCTGCTGCGTTTATTGCCGAAAAGCTCGAGCTCAGTTTTATCTGACCGAACCAGATGAATCCAGTTAAACGCTCTGGGAAGTTTATATTATATTATATATTATATTCTCCCCAAACAACTGACTGGTATCACATTAGCGTCTAATGGTTGCTAGATAAAAACAATTATTTAATTGAATGTATTTAAGAATGATTTCAAGGAGTATTGACAATTATAACATAATTAATATAAATTTTATTTTTTCAGGTGAACAGAAATACTTGAAAAAAATAAATAAATGCAAACAGATTTTAATGAGGTACTATTAAAGCAATAAAAGATAAGTATTGTTTAAGATTCTTATTTTGGACAAATATTTGAAGAGGTGCCAACAACTTTATTCACATCTGACAGTACAGGAATTCTTATCAATAAAATACAATTCTAACTACTGTTTGTCACAACCATTTTTAAAGTCCTAAAATGTTGATTACTAAACTTTTTAACCTGCTCTGAGCCTTACTGTACATGAATTTGGGAAGAAGAATAATAAAATAGCCTAATTCTAATCGGGTCACACAGAAATAGGATTTTAGTCAGAATTCAGGTTATCTGATTTCTGAAATATTTTTCCTGCAAACAGAAAAATGCAAAAAGCTAAATAATAAAACTGTTGTTTTTTGAGTTCCTGAAATGTCTCTCAGCTGGATTCCTGCCCAGTACAGATGTACATGTAAACATAATCTTTTGATTTCTTTCATTGCTTAATATCCGCTGATGTCCAAAAGAATAAAGCTTCATTTAGAAGGAAAACATGTTGGAAAACGGTCTAAATGTCTTCTCCACTGTTAGATAGGACATGTGGCCAAACTTCCTGCTAGCTGACTGTTCTCTCCTAGGAATGTAACAACTCTTTCCAGATTTATTATATAGATAATGAATGACTTCTACTTGAACTGCATCTTTATAAAGATGCTAGTTTTGTTTTTATGTAATGCTTTCCTACTGTTTAAATAGTATAAATATATATTTTTATAGGCTGATTTTTCGTAATAAAGGCCATAAAAGCCTAAATATCCCTACATATAAGGATTAACCTGAAGCATAATACAATAAAGTGAGACAAAATGATGGAATTATCAAGCTCCAAACAAGAAAAACAGATTTTTTTCAAAGATGCAGTAAACATGTAAATATTTTAAAGGCTGCCAGAGGCACCGTTTTCTCCTGCAGGTCCCAAAAGGAAAGAAAACAGACAAAAACCAAGCATCAACTAGAAACCTGGAGCTTACTTTTAACAGGACGACCTCTCAGACGGTCGACAAACACATAGACATCAATAATCATCATATACCGTAGGCAAATTGGAATTTCTGCAGGGATTTGCCTGTATTGTTTGGCTGAATTAAGTCAGTTTTTTTGTTTAAATGTTTTTCTCAATGTATGTATTGAATGAGTGTGTGGGGTGTGTGTGTGTGTGTGTGTGTGAGCCATGCTCTCTGCAAGAAGCTCCTAAGAAGCTCAGCGTTTTCAATTCGAAGCAGAAAGCAAGCCAAAGAGGGAAAAAAACCGGGAAAGAAGAACCTAGAAGGTGAAAGCTGTGACAGCCTGAAGTCACTACTATGACAGCATTAGTCGCCTGTTATTGGCATAATTAGTGCTGCTGTTAAATGATTGGCTGATGATTGGATGCAGTTAAAACACAGTTCGGTTTGACCGGAGCTGACTTACCTCTGCTGAAGCTCCTCCTCGACAGACTTCAGAAGACTCCTGTTTGACACACAGATAGAAACCACAAAGAGTTAAGAGTGTGCGATAATAGATCTGTGTGTTCCAGATCTGCCTGCAGCTAGTCCAAAATACAGCAGCCTGTCTTTATAGCGAGACACCAAGACCAACTTTTATTCTATTAATCAGAAACTTCTCCTCTTTACCAATATGAGAGGGACGGAGATCTTTAAATCCATGAACCTTAGAAGTACAAAGGTCAAGGGTGTAGATTAAGCTAAGGAATAATCCAGACTCCCTAATCTTAATGTTTTGACTAGTCTATGGATGAAAGACTAAATAATGTATAGAAAGGTTAAAAACAAAAAAGCTAGAGAACAAAAATAATTTCTTACTTGTTTCCTCCAAGCAGACTTGGTGAATCATGGCCATACTCCAAATGCAAGTCCTAAAAGAAAGAAATCATACTTCTTTACTACATATTGCTTGTTTCCTTATGAAAAACAAAACAACAGAAAAACTTGTAAAAAGCGGCGGTAGCAGCGCTGCTTCTTCTAGGCCTCCTGGAGGACAAACAGCTTGGATATGGAAGGTTTGAAGCCTCAGATTTTTGAGAAACTCAGCCTAAACATTTGGGATTTATTTTTTTTATCCTTCCAATAAAAAAACAAATAAATCCCAACTAATAAATAATACTAAAATCATTACAAAAAAAGGACCAATTTAAGCTGTAGAGATACATTTTTTAATTTCTAAATATGGACTACAGCAGTTTATAATAAAGTAAAATAGATTGCGAATTGCTAAAAAACATTTCGATGATGCACTTAACAAAAGGGCAAATGCTAAATAATTGAGTATTAAGGCGTTACATTCTTTTTTAATTGCGAGAATAAAGGTCAAAATAATAATTCTAAGAATAAAGCTGTAATACTGTGGCATGATGTGGAAATAACATTAATATTACAAAAATAAAGTTGATTTCATGAGAAAAAAGTTTGATAGAGTTTTCAAGGACTAACATTAGCTCAACTAAACAGCAGCTGAAGCAAACACGGGGAAGATTGCTCTTTCTTGTTAGAGTTCTTATTAAAATACTTATTTACTCTGGTAATAAACCTTTTAACCATCAGTCCGATAATATAAAATCATGCCTAATTAAAAAAAAAAGAAAGGGTTACCCAAATTAGATGCTGTTCTTGAACCCTTTTAAGAAGATGCAAAAGCTTTGTTGTCTTTGTAAAGGTTAATTTAATTCACTTTAATTCTCTCAATGAGCAGTCCAATTGGTTCAACTGCTAATCGGTTTGTGGCTATTAAAAAGTAGAACTATGATGCTTAGAAGTCAGAAACATGTTCCATGAGGACACTGGGGTCCGCATGACAACTAAGCAGTTAATCTGGCCTAAAATTATGACGTATTGTTATATTATGACTAAGGCTGAAACAATTAATCGGATTAATCGATTATTTAAATAATCGTCAACTAATTTAGTAATCTATTAATTGTTAAATGGATTATAGAGACTCTAAAACATGCCTTTAGCTGATAGAGCAACCCATTTAGAGCAGTAATTATACCAAAAATATTTTCCATTTAAGATAAAACCCCCCACTTTTTTGTCTATCAATATGCTCTATTCAGGACTCCACAAGTGGATACGTTTTTATTTTCAACTGGTTTAATTCTATAAAAAAAAATCTTAAAGGATCCTTTCGCCATCTGGTTATTGATTGAATTATTATTAAAAAAAATTAAAATAAAATCAGTTAATTAGTATGGCCCTTATATGATTCCATAAAAAGTTTCACCATCGACGTTCTGCATATATTAAGGGCTATTTACTGAATACCATAAGCTGAAGTAAAAACATTTTTAGTTTTTTTAGTAAAAAATAAGAAAGGCTCCTAAAACTTTATATAGGATTTTTATACAACATGGATGATACCTGATAAGTGCTTTACTAAAATATAAGACTATTTTAAAGTACTTTAAATATGCCAAGTCAGGTAATGGGATGCTTTAACTCTAAATGCCAGTAGTTCAATCTGGTTTCATACTGAGTTTTTCTGAAAGTATTATTGTTCTTTTGGTGTTTCAAGCTTTGTTTTAGCTCAGTTTGTTAGGAAATAAAGCTCTCTGTGGATATTCAAAATAACATTGAAGGTGTGTTACAGCGCATCACTTTGCCCGGTGCTAAACACCATCAGGATGAACGCTAGGAGTATATAACCGTATTTTATCATAATTAAATGGTTTTCCTTTTTTATTTATTTGGCATAACATAACTATGGACCTATTTTAATTATAATTCAATTTTTTTAAGCTTAGAAGAAGTGATTTGTTCTGTACTAGATAACAAAAAGTAACTGACAGTTGAAGCATCAGGAAGCTGGTAAACATCAGTCAAAGGATTTATTTTTAAATCCCCTTCATCGACTGCTGTGCATTGAACATAAATAAAAAGCCAGGCTTTAAATCTGTTATGTAAAGCCACAAACAGCGTTATTGTGTCACACAAACGAGACAAAGAGAGAGAGAAACAGGCATGCAACAGGAAAGGACATGACATAAAGAAAATAGAAGAATACAGTTTGGGTGGTTGTAGTCAACTACAGCAGACTGTTAGAAAACAAATGTCAGGTTAGGACACAGAAAATAAAAGACTGTAAAGAAACAGATCAGATTTAGTGAAAAAAAAAAAAAAAAAAAAACAGTTCAACACAACAAACACACATGGTTTCAGCTAAAGTACCGTATAAGGGTGCTACCAGTTATTTCCAGTTCCAGCTAACCATTTGAATTTGACCTCAAACCTTCCTCTGTACAATTGTATGTTTTTTTATGTACTTTCTATACACAGCATGACAACAGAACCAAAATAACAGCAACCATTTGACAGTAACACCTAAAGCACCAGTTAGTGAAGCAAAGACAGCCAGAAGGAGGAGAAGAGAGAAACACAGATGGATGAACCGTCATGGTGAGAAGGCGCAAAGCCTTTTCCTCATTTTTCTCACACTGCAACCAAAAACCTAAATCAATTCCAACATTTTTCGGGATTCTGTGCCACAGACCAACATAAAGGAGGAAACAAAACATGAAAGGCGATTTTTAAACTTTCTTTAGACGAAAATCAAGCAGTGATGCTAAGCCTCCTTTGCTAATCAATATAAATGGATCTGTTCTGTAAAGGTCCCCTGGGGTGCATTAGTTAAACAGAATAACGGAGACCAATGATCACAGCAGCTGAATGTGAAAAGTTGAGAAATTTAAAACGATTAAGGTTGACAAAAGTATTCGCACCCTAAAAAGTATAAACATTCGTCTGGATACAATGCTAATTTGGCATGTTATCAATAAAAAAAATGTTTACATACTTTGCATATTCTTAATTTTAGATATCTTGATAATTTCCACAATCAAAGAATAACATCTGAAACAACCTTAAAATATCATCAAATTTTGATTATTTATTTTGCACATTCATTTAACTAGCATCTGTGATTCTGTAGAGAAATTATTCTGTTTTTAAATGGTAATAAACAAAATTTTATACCTTTAATTACTTGGCTTTTTTTTTTTTATTCCTATAGTATCAAAAATTGTTTCAATATCACATTTTAGAATTTTGTATTGTGAAAACCCTAAAAGCAAGAAAAGGGTAAAAATTATATCCCACACTGGGAACACGTCACAGGACTCATTGAATATCATTTAATAATTATGTTTTCCTTAAAGGAAGAGCGAGGGGAGCATTAATCAGACCAAGAGGTCTACTCTGGATGAGCTGCAGAGATTCACGGCTCTGGAGGGAAAATCTGCCGATAGGAGAATTACTGTAGATGTACCTTTGACAAAGTGGCAACGACAGTTGGGGAAAAAAGCTTGTTGGGCTTAGTTATTTAGATCAGATGGTAGCAAACCTAACTTCTTAACCTGCAGGGAAAATGCTAAAGATAACAACACTAATTATATAACCCTAAACCGCCCATCTCTATCAGAAAAAAACGCTGGCTGCAGTGGATAGTCAGGCATGCCCAGAAAAAATCCGATTGATAATATCTAAATGATTTACTTTAGAGAAAAAAGGCAAAAGGTTTCAGTTTCTAGATCAGCCAAGCTGATGGAAACAGAAGGTGATTCTGCTAACCTATCAGGTTGTTTGGAAATATCACACAAAACCTCAACAAAAACATTAAAGGTTTTTGATTGTAATGTGAATAAAAATGTGGAAAACTTTAAGTGGCATGAACAGCTTTGCAAGGTACTGTCAAAACATTTCTAACAGTGGCAAAAAGTGCATTCTGACTGAACAGAATAAGAAAGAGCAAAGCGTGGAGAACAAAGAAACTCAAACATAAGCAGGACAAGGACTTGTCCTTTGATAACAGATTATGGAGAACAACATGGAACGGACGAAAGAGGCGGAAACGGAGTTTATAGATAAAAACTATGAGGAGAAAAGGAAGAGCCAGCTAATATACAGATAGACGGATGACGAATAATGGGAGAGACAGAGGGAGTACTACCAGATTAGATCTCGCGGTATAGTAGAGCTCCTCAACACAGTCCAGATAGGGCTCAGAATCACACTGGTCAGCAAGACAGAGCGAGAGAGACCTCAGTTAATACATTAACTTGGACTTATATAACAGGAAGGAAAAGAGGCATGGGGGTGAGAGAGAGGATGAATGAGTAAAAAGTTATGTCTAAAAACCAGAGCTAGAAAGTCAAAGGGGAGCAGGGCAGGTTGGATAGGGTAAAGGAAAGGAGTAAAGAAATATGTGAGGATGCAATGTAATAACCCCAAAATCCAAAAAAGGAAAAAGAATTAAGAAACAGTTAAGTAACATTTCCTTGCATTAATAAAATCCCAAACGCATCTAAAGACAAATAAAATATCTGTATTACATCAGTTAGGAATCTTTATGCTTATTCTTTAATTAGAAGTACCTGGAGCTGAAAAAACAAACAAAAAAAGCAGCTATGAGTCATGATGAGGTCAAACACGACCCTCCGCTGTTTTATTGTTCTGTGTTATAATTAGAACTAAATTAATCGGAAATTTAAACTGGTCTTAGTGGAATGCACTGACCGGATTCTATAGTCTTGAATTAGAATTGAACTGGTTTGTTTAACAAAGCCTTTAAATGACTGATAAATGCTTCATGGTGCTGCCAATAACTTTGTTTATAAATAAAAACACTATCCTTTGTTAAAGTACAGAAAAAGGTAATGGATGATTGACTCCGAAACGGTCTAAAAAGGTCTGCTGAGTGAAAGATAAAAGTCAGTGAGGGGAGAAAATAAATAAAAAAAAGCTTTGTTATAACTGAATCGTAGATGGGAAACGCATAGATGTGAAAAGCAAGTTAATTAAATTTTAATGAATGTTGTACCCAGGGATTTATGTTTAACTTTTATTATGGGTGAAACTGCACAGAGGAAGGAAAAAGGTAAAGGTTTGACTCATTTCAGCTTGACGGTTGTTTTTTGGGCCAACTAACACAGAACGGATAGTGAAAAACATACAATATGAGGAGCGAACGTGTGGAACGGGTGACTGACTACATCTATCTATTAAATTTATCCACTAACAGCGAGAAAAAACAACCATTTAACCAAGTCTAAAACCACTAACTAGAATCAGCAGGTATTTTGCAGCATTTTATTTATTGTTTTTTTTTTTTTATAAATTTGGTCTCCAACCCTTTAATCTAAATGCACTATTTAAATGTATTTATGTGCATCAGCTCCAGAGATGGTTTAGTTT